AAAAAAAAAAAAAAAAAAAAAAAAAAAAAAAAAAAAAAAAAAAAAAAAAAAAACAAAACAAAACAAAACAAAACAAAGACGTTGGCCTTACACCACCACTACGTCTTGAGAACCCAGACAGAAGATATCTATCACCTTTGGATCATCAATTCGATGGACCAACTGAAAAAAGGACAAACCTGCTGCTATTGCCTAAGGCAGGAGGTTCTTTGACTCTTGCAATGTAGCCGCTAAACATTACTGTTTCCATCTGATTCCCCCATGATTCATACTCACTGACTCTCATGCGTTTTGTGTGGCGTTCAGTCACGTGCTGGGCACTGAGTCTCACAATATACCCTATAGAGAGGAGAACGTTAATCCCCTCGATTGAGGGCAATCAATGCTGCTCATCAGTCAACGGAGTGTGCCTACGTGTCGCTTTAGGTGACCAGTCATGTTTATAGTACGATGGACACGTGGCATGTCAACATGCGCCCTGTTTGTTTACAGACTACTCAATTCTAAATGTTAAGGGACGCTGGACCCGGTTTCCAGCAGGCGTTGCTCCCCACCACTAGATGGAGCCTCCCCGAGTATGCTAGCGGTGTCTGCTCTTATCAGCACCCCTAGCATTTACTCGGTTTAAAAAAAAAAAAGAAAAAAGAAAAAAAAAAGAAAAAAAAAAGAGAGGAGAACTTTCATCTCTATAGGTCAAGCAGAGAATAGCAACCTTCCCTTTTAGCAATGGGCCTAGCTTGGTTGGTGCACCCCTGAACTGTTGAAATACAGACCCCAGTTCAAATCCAAATGCAACCAGATGAACAGAATAAATTTGAGCTACCTGGGGCCAGTCAGCTCAATGGTCATACCTTAAGGCTGTTGTGAGGGCTTCACTTCTGGGATACCTAGCAATCGTAAGTGCATTCGTACATTTGGCGGTGGCTGCGCTTTGACGTAGACTAGTACTCCAGTATTGTGGTTACCACTGCTGTAGCGTTGTTACTACCACTGATGTTGCCGACTCTAGTAGTTACTTTGCTTGTCTCGAGTGACATGAACGCTAGGGTTTCTCTCATCACAAAATTAGCGGCGTGTAGTTGGGGGTCATAATGCAGATGGTGCTTAGGATTGCAATTCTCGTTGGTGATAGTGACGATCTTATTAGGATTGTTGTCATGTTCGACGAAGCCACTCGGACGTACCGGATTTTGGCGAGACATGACTGATCTTTCTTTGGTGTGACAGAGAGTGTGTAATTTGTTTCTTACTTTCTTTAGCCGATAGGAGGTGGTTGGGTACTTGCCTTTCTTCCTTTTTCAGTTATTCGGTTCCAGATAGGTGAGTGGTCCTATTCTGTGATTTCGAGTCTTTCTCTATCTGCTGAGTTCCGTTAGTTGATTCCCGTGGTTTCTTATTGCCTCATCATGAGTGCGCCTGGTAAGTGTTTCAATTGCAATGGCGATGGGCGTTTTGCGAGGGAATGCCCCAGCACCAAGACTAATCGAGGAGGTAACACGAATGGGGCTTCTGCTCCCTCGACTCCTCGGTATTGGACACCCAGAAGGAATCAAGAAGATACAGAGGAGCGGGAGTTTTTGCGTCAGATGATTCAGGAGAAGAGAGAGGAACAAGCCAGAAAAAGGGATTTAGATGAGCAGATGGAGTTTAATGAGAAGTTGAAGTCTAAGATGGCGCGGTATGCGGAAGCCACGAAGGTTGAAGTTATGGCAGCTGTTGGACGACAGTATTTGGGCACAAGGAGGAGGCTCAGCGTGAGGAACATAAAGGGAGTTGGTCTCCGCCTGGATGAGGAGGTTAGGGATATTGATTATATCGACCTGGAGATCCGTCGTTTGGAACTCCTACGTGAAAAGAAGTGGAAGGGTAAGGAGGTGGCGCGTGCAGGGGTGAGTTTAGCGAAGGTGGCTTATGAAGGTTTTGTCTTTTCGCCGGTGTCTCTGGAGAATGCGGCGTCACAGTCTGAGTGACTGGATGAGTATGCGAGATTTACATTGTGGGACAGCCTCCTACATTGGATGAGGTGCAGGCTACAGGCCTTTCATGAGAATCTGCTGGTTCGAACTCGTCTCGTTTTTTAGAAGTGTATTTTGTTGTGCTTTGTTGGACTTACCTTGATTGATGAATTCAGATAGAATGTGAAGTTTCATCGGATGCTCTGTTCTGTTGGTTGGGATAGTTGGGACAAGGGTCCTGTGGTCTATCTTCTTGCTTCTCCGTGGTGCAAGTCTGAATATGTGGGCAGTTCCATCAGGGGGATATTTGTCAGATGGAACAAACATGTGCGTACTTCTTTAGGAGGGACCTTGGGTGCTTGTCCTAAATTGTATTGCTGGCTTCGGTATTTTGGGCTTTGGAGATATTTACATATTCCCCTCATTAACGGTAGGGTCACAGTTGACATGGTAGAGAAAGCTGTCATTCCGACTCATTCGTGGTTTTGCTCCTGTTTTAAATACAAGACGCACACGGAGGTGTATGAGGTTCGACATCAGGCCATTGCTGTGGAAGAGGAAGGGCACTAGTGTTGTTCCTCCTTGCTATGGTGCGTTTGTGAAATTTTATATCGAAGGTGGTGTCTTGAGGGATAGTCTGCTTTCAGTCCTTCGTGATGTGTTCACTTCCCCAGTTCACCATATTGTCTTGGAGGTTTTTCCTGACATTTTTTTGTCGGATAAATGGTCGATCGTCTGCCGGGTTTTTGGCACCACTTCCGCAAGGAAGGATTTGTCCCGTGTCTGTTTGAAGGAAGCTAAGCAATTGCTCCAAGGGGAGGTTCTTTCGTTTTTGGCCCATTTACACCCTCGGGAAGGGCGATATTGAAGGGACAGCTGCAGCTTATGTTACACTAGCCTTGGAGGAGGCGGTGTTTGCCTCTTTGTTCGGATACCACCCTGATCCGTCCGTTTAGAGCCGCTAGGGATTTTTCGAGGAAAGATGTGTTCATTGCTTAAGGGGGTGCTGGCCAGAGAAGTCAAGAGGAGAATCGGTGTTGATATTCGGAGAAGGATTGTGGTACGGGCTCAATTTGACCATAGGGTCAGCTCTGTTGAAGTCCATGCTTTAGTTGTCAGAGTGATCGACAGCTCGATTTTCCCTTCTGTCTTTAAGGACTTTTTGTGTTCGCGTGTCCGCTTCATTTAGTGGAAGAATAAATCTATTGGAGATTTGTTCTTCATGCATAAGAAGGTCTCATGGGGTGATTATGATGTATGCTGCTGTTTTGATGAGGAGTTTGGTTGGAACTGTTATGGTTTCCACATCATGACTCGCATCGGCGATGTTCCTGGTATCCCAGACATTTTTCGGAATTCGAAGAACATTCCGGTTCAGACCTCAGGGAATGCGTTGGTTGATCTGGGTAAGGTGATCGTAGGAACCTGTCGGATTTTTATTATTATTTTCTTTTTAATCCCCCCTCCAGTGATAGTGGTGCTGGTAAGAGCAGACACCACTAGCACCTGAGGAGAGGCTCCATATATTGGTGGGGAGCAGCACCTGCTGGAAAACGGGTCCAGCATCCCATATACAGAAGAAATTCGGAGTACATCAGGAAAAAAGAGCGGGAGACTCCTGCCAGCATTGATTACTCTGGAATCCAGAGGATTGACTGAGCAGGAGATTGGAAAAAGGAAGAGAACCTCTTCGCCCTGAACCTGGCGCCAGATACCTGCTGCTACAAACTAGTTCCTCCTTCCCCCCCCACCCCTTTCACCACCCAGTCCCAACTGCCGATCTCGAAATGTAGACCTCGAACATCTAAGGGACAAGCTTTTGTTTGGACTGCACTCCTTGCCGTCCGTTATATGCTCTGCCCTCGCTCAGACTGCGTCAGCAAGAATGATCTCACAACTTGCTTTTCGGCAGATGCTTTCCCGGTTCAGCACCTGTCTGGTTGGTTTGCTAGGCTTAAGCGCTTTGCATGTGTTCCCATTGATCGGAACATTGTGGGTACGTTGATCATCTGTCCTCACTTATATTCTCACTTCCAGAAGATCACATTTGACTGGAATAGTTTCATTTGTACATTTTGAAACAGAAGTGGCTTTGTTGCTTTCTGACATGTGGGTAGCTTTTCAAGGGGTGGGCCTGCACAGAGTGGGCAAGTGGGACACAAAGGGTTCAGTTGGTAAGGCTTTTGTGTTGCCGAAGCATAAGGACCTTCCGCATTGGCGGCCCTATTTCGCCCACCTGCTCTGAACCCATGCGTTTGGCCTGCTCGAGAGCCGCACAGGCTTTGAATTGTCTGCTTTTCAGACTTCCCACTAGGCTCAGTTTCAACCTTAGGGCAGTAGACCAGTTGGGTGTAAAGTTACTGGATATGGAACGAGATTTGTATGGTATCCCTGGGGTGCTAGATATTGTTGCCGGTTCCTTTGATGTCAAGGACATGTTTGTGAGTTTGGCCCACACTGATATCCTTCGTGCGGTTGATTAGTTATTGACTTGGTATGTAAGGACCGGTTATGAGGGTGTTAATGTTGCTAAGAGAGGAAAGCATGCGTATCTATCTTTCGGTGCTAGGAGGGAAGAATGCCTCTTCATCCGTTTCGGAACCATTTGGGACATGGTTGTGTTTGATTTGCGCTTTGCCTTCGTTTGGTCGGCGAAAGTTCTTCTTTCGCCAGGTTGTTGGAGTACCTATGGGGAAATCGTCCATTAGTTCACTCGCGTGCATTTTGTGCTCATGGTCTGAGTTTAATTTTTTGACTAGCCTGGGCAATGATAGGCGACTAGTTTTTGGCTTCCGGATAATTGATGATGTTACCATCTTCGTCGTGGTAGTAGGCAGAGCAGGAGGATTTTGCAGTTGTTACGGCTCTAACCTTCGTTTTCGAAGAACTGATGATGGCCTTGGGCAATGGGCGTTCGCCGGCGTGTCGGTGCAGAAAGCAGGTGCTGCTGTCCGCACTGTTGCCATGGTTAAGAACGCTGATTTCGTTTGGAAGGAGGGGAAGTTGGTTTTTGGATCCTTCCAAGACTTCGGATCCTACACATGATTTATAGATAGTCTTCTGACGAGCTTGGAAGGATGCAGGCTTGCCTAGAGGGAACTCTTCATGAGAAATTACCCTCTGAAACTGGTCTCCATGGCCTTTGAACGGTTCCGGAGGAAGATGGGAGCCCCAGAGGCTTTGGTCCTTTCTCGGATGGGTAGTTGACATTCTGGATTTGGCTATGGGGGTTTGGCTTTTTGCCAACCTGGCCCTCATGGGCCTGATCTATCTTAGTTATCGGTATGGTTCCTACGGGTTAGCTTTCGTTGTACACTAGTAGATTTCAGATTCGCATGTATCCAGCTTGTTTTTTGGATCTTATTTGGATCTTGCTTTTGGAGATAGCCCTTCCTGAGGGAGGCCTTAGTGTTCTCAAGAAATTTTCTGCTTTTGTGATGGTACGATGGCGGATGTGCTGCTCGTATGCTTTGCTTTTTTCTGATGAACCTGCCGCGTATCTTCGCTTAGTTCAGTTGGTGCCCTGTGTCACAGAGGGCCCAGAAGCTTCGGGTGGTGCAAGGGTGGCTCGTACTGATCGCTGGAGGCGGTTTTTGGGTCACGTAACGATCCACAGGCGCGAAAGCCCACAGGAAAAAGGATGGAAAAACCATCTCGCCAAAAAAAAAGGGCAAAGAATTTTGGAAAGCTGGAAAGCAGTTTTGTGGGGACCCCACCGTGAAGGACCAAATGCGCCGTGGAAACCCTTTGGAAATCAGTTGAGCCAATCGTTGCCTTTCTCCGTCGGCACTCATTTGTTTTGTTTTTAGTTTCTTTGTTTCTCCTTTTTTTTTGGTGGCACGCTTGGTCGCTATTGGCGGCTGCCTCCCATGAGACTTTTCCAGGAACGACACGCCCTCCCCCCTACCCTCTAGAGTTGGCACAAAATTGCGGCGAGGAATCCTCCTGTGAGACCTTTCCAGGCTGCGGACTATGTGAAAACATAAAACTATGTTTTTCCAAGCCGTGAACATTGCCACAAAAATTGAGGGCGCAACGCTACCGGAAGCGCTGCGCCCCGGTACCAACCACGGCGGCGGAGTGAGGCGGCGAAGCGGAAGTGCGCCTGGCTCAAACCGGTTTTGCTGTGGCGCTTTCACACGAACGAAGTAGCGCATGGCGATGGCATGACAGAGGCGCTGGTGGGGTTGGGTTGGGCATCGAGCTTACGACTGCTGCTTAATCGGTTGCTCGTGTGATGGTGGAGTATGGCGATGTTCTTCGACGGACCAGGCACTTTGCTCATGCGTGGGGAGCGAAGGTGCTCGTCTATACCGTATCACAGGTTGATGGGGAGGATAGACCAACTCCCGGAGGTTTTCTGGGAGTGCGAGTGTAGTAGCTACCTGTCATCATCAGTGTTCTATTTCATCAGCATCAGGAAGAGGTTCGTCATCACCGCTTCATCACTATCAGGGCACGACTCAAAGGAATCATCACGGCGAGGTGTGTCATCTGCATACTGGTTAGTCATTCTCAAGCAGGTGATGTACTTTATCATTAGGAAATTGTTTGATTAGTATCCCAAATTTCGTCATCTTCCTTACTACCATCATTTGATTAGTGGTCATCTCACAGAATCGCAAAAAGCTCGCTATTACCATTCCCAACATCATCCTTGTCATTAGTCGTAAAATCGTTAGAATTCTTACAATAGCCTTAGTGTGAGCTTAGTTATCAACACCTTCATCATTACGATATCATCGGTATTATAGTATTACTGGTTTGCTTATCACCACCACTATTTGAGGCACCATCAGCATCATTACTATCATACTCACCATCATCATCTTTACAAGAATCATCGTCAATTACACTCATTCCTGGGCTGTCATCGATTTAGCAAGTAACCACATATGCGGGATTTTCTCCCCTTTTGCTCATACGGGATTTTTATCCTCCCTCTTCGCACTTTTCCCTTTTAGGGAGTTCCTTTTACGCATGGGAACTTGTTTCCCTTTTATCTTCACCT